GGTGGCAGATGAAATTATTCCCACCATTACTTTCGTAAACCTTCCTTTAAATATTTTTCCCAAAGCCAGCCTCCAAAACAGCTTGCAAGCTTGCTCTCAGATTGGTGTATATGAAGGTCAAAGAAAACACTTTATACTTCAAATTTCAAAACAGTAAAAAAAACAAAAACCTGTGTCAAACCAGAGGAGTTGGTAGCCTTAACAAGGAAGGTTAATGAATGGTAAAAATTACAGTTTGCCACAACACACCACTTGATTCGCCCATGATTTGCCTGATCCTCCCCTCCATCTTCATCAGAATGCCTTGAGGAAAGGCTAGTCTACTCAGTGACACTGATGTAAATTGACATGTATGGCCATCAATCTTGTCTACTAATGAGTTCATGCCTGAGGATTATCTTGATTGTCCCAAGCGCTCCATCTTCAGGGAACCGTAGCAGGGTCTGATTTGTATCTAGTTACCCTGCAGAGGCTACCAGGTTGTTTTTTAATCAGTGTGATTAGTTTGTTAGTTAACTACTTGTCATAATTCATTTCCTATTATGTGTGCTGAAGGAAATTAACCATTTGTTATTTGTGTATTTATTTTTTTTCCTGTTTGACATGTGACAAACTGACTCAGTCATGTTGAACTAGGCACATGTATGTACAAACCCAATGAAGTTTTGGCTCTGTTACATGTAACTCAGAGTGTTTCATCAAAATGCCCAATATGTCTAGGGTTATAATTCACATGTTGCCTGGTCATATTTTAAGGGTGTATTGTGCAGTAGGAATTACTTGTACAATGTACATGTGCATGTAGGCTGCTTACAATAGGGTGCATACAAATATAAAAATACATGCAGATCAAATTCAATGTAGTATCCAAAAATTGTGTGTCACTTGACACTTCTTTGGAAATGATCTTCCAGTATTGTCTTCTTCAAAACTGCTAGCTATCCATATGTAAATGAAATGCATGTACACAGTACATACATGTACAGTGTACGTGTACATGTACATGCACTTGGTTTGAAACAAGTGCTGTATGATTTTGAAAATATTTTGATTGGTTGCTTTTTTGATAACTGCAAATAATGGGCTCCACCTTTAACCAACTGTGCACATATACTGTACTGCACATCCACCCCCCAAAAAATAAATTTGTCGTGGAGCTGCATGTACATGTAAATGCACGTGGCTTGACTTATTTGAATAATTTGTTCAAACATTCATTTCAGGGAAAGTGTAGAGCATTGGTATTCATTTCCACAAAGCAAGCCTCTATACATGCTGTATTTGCATGTCCTCCATAAACAGGTGAAGGATTTAGGACTGTTAGGGTTAACCCACAATCAAAGTATGTGTTGGACATGGAAGAATCAGGTTTAGGGGTGTAATGATTCACCCATGCAATTACACCATGATGGAGCATCATGATATAGAACTGTGCAGTCATGATGGGGCTAATAGACATGGAGACTGTCATCACAAGAATGTGCATTACTGTTGAAAGTGAGTTAGGAAAATACAGTTGATGGTACAATAAGCAACCGTTTGTGCGCACCACTATTGGAAAGGCTGTGAAATTAGGTACAATCAGATTTTCTGAAATGTATCATGTATGTGTATATCCTTGTCCAAAAAAAGACTGGAGTTGCTTTGATGAGACATCCAGCAAACAAACATCAGATCTGTTGTGTAAATAAGAATAATGTACAGTAGTATGAGAGACTGTTTTTGAGTGAGTCCTGTGTACCGGTATGTGAAACCATGTTTTTCTCCTCGACTCTGTGTGCACGCTACCGTTGTCGGTTGTGGTCAGCCTGTTACATTGATAATTGCAGTGACGGTCGGTGATCATGGCTTGATCGCTACCAGTCATCCATTTGTTGCAGGCCAGTTGCCGGCTCTTTGCGATGGTTGTTTGACTTTGACTGCAAGGCTTTCTGGGCGGCCAATACACTGGCCGCCCAGCAAGCCTGGCTTTCCTGTCAGCCTGGTGGCCATCACTTGCCCCTCAGTGCAAAGTGGTGAATGCTTATGCATCTATGCAGAACCATACAAAAGTTATTCCTGCACACATTTTGACTTGTTAATTGTTATGTCTACGTTCATTAGTAGAGCAGACATTTTTAAATTGTAGGTAAGAACAAAATGAACCCTCATGACAATGATATTTTAACTGCAAAACGAGAACCATTAGAACCAAGGAATAAGAGAAATGTGTTCATTTCCATATCAATTACTGGAATGGTGGAAACCAACAGATTGAAAACTGAAGCGAGTGCAGACGGATCCTTCTTGAAACTTTGAAAGTGTTGAAACCAGTATTTTTCATACCACGAAGGCAGCCTTTTGTGTGAAATCCAGCAGTAAAGGGTTAATTTAAGCATTTCAAAGTGTCACGTGCAATTCAGCACTTTTCCTTGAAATGGTTGAATCAGCATTGAAAGTGTTGGATTAACTGGTTAAATGTTGGATTTAAAATGTTGTCAACTTGAGATTTAGAATGTTGGATTCAACACTGCCACAGAGTGTGAATCTTCATAAAGTGTTGGATTCAACACTTCCACAGAGTGTGAATGTTCAGAAAGTGTTGGATTCAACACTTCCACATAGTGTGAATGTTCAGAAAGTGTTGGATTCAACACTTCCACAGAGTGTGAATGTTCAGAAAGTGTTGGATTCAACACTTCAGTTTTTAGATTCCAACACTTCAGTTTTTAGAGTGAAGTGTTGGACTTCTGTTGTTTTCAGAAGCAAAAGAAAACAATCAAAGGTGGTCATAATGAAAAAGTAACGTGATGGTTTTAATTCAGGACTGATTTGGATCGTTGGATGCTAACTGTTGAATAGGAAGTGAAAGTTGTGTGCCACGACAGGTACGTCTATTTCGTGTTCTATTGGAGAATATGTAGGGAGTTAAGGCTTCAAAACAATATAGCTAGTTCGGTATTTCAAAATGCCAAGGTCTTTCAGGAACAAAGTGCGCACTTGAGTCAGCGTATGGCTGCACGGATACAAATGTAGGACAGAATGTCACGTGTGGCTGTGTCTCGTATTGAGCATGCGCTGTTGGAACATTAAACTGGCTGATTTTCAACAGATTTTAAAACCCACAGCAAAGAATTATAACAAGCCCAAATCCAAGATGGAAACTTATAGAGTCAGAGTAAATCACTCCGACCCAAACTCCAAGCCAAACTCCAAGCCAAACTCCAAGCCAATCTCCAAGCCAAACTCCAAGCCAAACTCCAAGCCAAACTCCAAGCCAAACTCCAAGCCAAACTCCAAGCCAAACTCCAAGCCAAACTCCAAGCCAATCTCCAAGCCAAACTCCAAGCCAAGGGGGATATTAAGCATAGAGAACTGCGAAATAAAATATCCCCCTCCCCCTGCCCTCCTTTGGGCAGAAGTGCCGTAGTGCTCGGATCAGGATAAAGTTAGGAGAATTGTCATTTGATGCATGTATTGTACAATTGAAACAGTTGCAAGCCCCTCAAATATTTAGATTTCCATGTAATCTTTGACTATGGCCACATCCTTGATAGTACATGTGACTCCAGCTGTGTCATGTCCACAATATACAGGTGCATGTAAATGTACACGTAGTGTTCATCCATGTGTGTGCATAGAAATCTGTCAGTGCTAAGTAGAAACACGATAATGTTTTTTAAGTTGCACAACTTTGGCTGAAGCCTGATTTGTCTTACAATATTCAATCAGTACATGTACATGTATATGTATGTATGTACATGTACAGTAGACGAGACTCACATATTTTTCACCTGATACAAATCTCTCTCCAGGGGCTGTTTTCATCACTTCTATCAAAGTCTTCTACCTGAATTTGCCATTTTTCTCCCCCCCCCCCCGAGGCATTGAGCGTTCAGGTGTAATATCTCTCTTTACAGATAATGGGAAACAACGTATAGGAAATTGGAGGATTGAATTGAGGGGTGTCAGTATTGTCCCTAGCCTCGCCATTGCTCATGGGCATTTTGTGCATACATGTACATGTACATGAACATAGTAGGTGCAGTACCTGTATACATGCATACATGTACATGTAGGTGTTGTAACAATGTTTTTGTACAGCCATTGCTACATACAGTGTTTGCATGTAGGCTTGACTGTGAGTCATATATGCCACACAGGAAGTTTTGGGTTGTGTTACTTGAACGGTGTATGAATTGCTCACCAAGTCCATGTATACATGGATGCAAGGCCAGATACCCATATAAAGGGTACGTTGTACCCGGTACCTGTACATATATGTGTGTTTTGGTTGACCAAAAGGAAAAGATTTCATCATATTGGATTTTGTCTACAAGTCTTACAAATGTCTAAGAGTTTGATTGGTTTACATGTACTTTACAAAGGCTGAATATTATGTGCATGTGAACTGCACAGGCAGAGTCAGAAATTTACATGTCAGTAATCCAGTTATGGGCTTGCATAGAAGGGAGAATGAAAGGCAAAGAAAGACCCAGTTGTCTTCATGTGTAGGTCTTATGGGAGGGAAATGAAGCAAGCAGGTTTCACTGGAGATTCATGTCTCATCAAAAATCTAGTGGATAACTGCTATCAGTAGCAGATCCTGCAAGCCCTCCCCCGACAGCTTGAAGGAAGCTACATAAATGTACTGTCTACGTCACATTTTGAAATAACGTCAGTTAAAAGATAGAGTTCAGTCAGGATGCACGTATAATAAACCCTTATCTTTCCAGGTTCTTCAAAATCCACTGACCAGACCGGGAGGTTTTGAAAGGTTGTATGAAGGTGTATCCCGTATGTTGTTTTTTTGACAAGTACACCTGTACATGTATGCAATATTTGATGTTCTAGAAAGAAGGGGAAAATAGCAAGCCATTAATTTCTTGCATAGAAGTGGATATTAGAGATTTGAAAAACTGCCCCATGAAAAAATGCCAGGGATTTTATTTTCATGTTGTGCCGTGATTATTTCCTGAGAATATTTTTGTCCTTTTGTTTTTATATTCTCTGGTCTACAGATTTATTCCTTAGTGGCCATTGGATTGTCTGGCTATGGGATACATAGTTACCTCAACTATGGTATGTATACATTTACCGCTTTGTAGGAATTTCTAAAACACAACTTACCATTTTGTCCCCCTGCACTATGATAATCACAGACAGCCATAATAAGCAGAAAGTCTACTCTAAAGGTGATAATAATTGAAATGTTGACAGCAGCGGATATTTTCAGCCTTGTTCCCCCCCCCCCAGGCTCCATGTTGCAGTTTTATCCTAAGACACGCGAGGGGAGGGGGCACTTTTCACTCTGCCTCGGTGCATAACAAACCATTTGGCATTCTTCAGGGATCCCTCTTTTTGAAAAGAGCATGTTTTTTGAATGACTTTAAATTGTCCAAGCTTTTCTGGACAACCGAGGGACCTGCGGCCGTGATGTCAGTCAGGGAAGACACTGTTTGGTTTGAGGTGTTTTTCTGTTCAAGATTTGCTCACTGGAAATGTGTCTGAGAAAGGATGCATTACTGATACAGTAGCCTTATTGCCAGTGCTTGTAGAGTGCGTACATGATTAATCAGCAGAGAAAAGGAAATTGAACGACTGCAAAATGTCACACATTTTTTTCGTGTCATTCATGTGCAGTTTTTGCACAGGAATTGATGCAGTGCTGAGGTACATGTACTTCGTGGGATGACATCATACTCTGAGTATGCATATGGGAATTGGCATAATTTAGAAAGCCAACAAAATAATGTACCTTTAAAGCAGCAAAACAGAAGTTGACAATGACATTGAATAAAACACAAATTTAAGTTCCATAATCAAGGGCTTTTGTAAAGCAATTGCATCAAACAGACCCTTTTATTTATTGGAATTAAGAACTTCAGAATTTGATAGTTGTGAAATTTCAGTGATAGGTAATAAAAGAGTGAAGTCAGTTATGATCCAGTGAGGTTGATCAGGCCAGCGTTCAGCTCCTGCTTCACTTTTTAGTCCGTGACACCAGTGATCTGCATGTTGTTAACATTAAGGCTCTTTTTCTTCCAAGTTTCCAAGTGTTTTGTTATTGATTTTTATTTTAAACAGGGAGCTTTTTGATCTATAATGAGACTGCCCACAGCCAGGAAATTGGCACTGAGCAACGAGTGCTGTACATTGCCAACTGCGTGGACATCGGCCTGTATGCCATCCTCATGCTGTCTGCCATCTTAGTCATCATTGGAGTTAAGAGGGTATGAGCAACATTGTCATTAGTCCATTTCTATCCACAGACTGCCCTTCTTGGTTCTCTGGTCTCTAAACTAGCCACCTGGCCGTTTTGTCCGTAAGACGGCCAGAAACAAAATTTGGACAGGCGCTTTTTGCAAACTTTACAAGTCCACATTATTTTTACGTGAATCTTTTCCACTGGTGAAAAAAGTCCTTACAGTTCCCTCCAAAATGCTTGGTGCAGTGGAAATATGGCCCCAGATAGAGCCAAGAGGTGTCAGTTGCCAAAGTTCTTAAGAGTGGACAGGCAGTTTTTTTAACCATGTCTGGGAAGAGATAGGCAACCCCTCCGGATGGCGGTTAGCATGAGGATGATTATTGTATGTGCCTGTAGCCATCATTAAGAATCTGTGGCTGTCACTCTGCACAGAACCCAACACAGTGCTATGTGCCATTAAAAGAAGTCACCAGGAATGTCACTAGATACATGGACGTCTACACCAACAAGAAACCTAATTCTGAGGCGTACACATACATGTACATTAACTGTACCTGTTTTTTGCCTTGCCAAGTGATGACGGTAATAAAAGTTCCCACAATGCTGGGCTTTAATCTCCCTTCAATTAACTTTTCTGACTCCTCCTTTGCTTGTTAGTGTCTTCAGGAAGAGGACATCAGAAAAACAGCCCTAGCCTGTTAAATTGGCTTGTTTCCAATCTCTAGATTGCCAGTGCTGATATTGTCAGCGCAGAGCGCCCAAGATGTAATGTAGTCTCAAGTGGCCCAGTGTTTGTGCATCACACGGTATTGCAAATGAAGTTGGGTGCTGTCCATTTCAATGTAGCAATCAGCTTCGACTTCGCCATGAATGATGTCAGGGAATTGGCCTTAATCACAAGACTGATTTATGTTGGCACCAGAGAATAGAAACAAAAGCACCAAAATAAAACTTCATTACAAATTTATGTCATTTACGTTTATGAAGAGCGAATGATATATGAAAATGTTTTAAGCCGCATTGAAACAAAAATGAAAGTGAGGCATGGAACCCACAATAGTCAGGCACCACCCTATTTACATATAACAGATTGCATTGAATAAGATTCTGGGAACACAATCAAAATGGCTTCCCCATGTATAGCATCTATTGGTTCAAATGGCATGTCATGTAAAAAGCCACAAAGGGCGCTCCTGAAATTTGGCAGCACTTCACATGTTTACTCCCGGTACTTGTATGTCTGGGCACAGAATGCCTGAGACAGTGGTTGCTTTCAAATCTCACCAGGGAGCTTTTTTGTTTTGGTTTTTTTTTCTTTGCATCTTCAGGCAAGGTGCTTTCCTAGCACAGTGTGAGAGGAAGTCACAGTCACTTCAACTTTTCTCTCTTTTAAACGAAACAAAGACCCAAAACATGAGGGTTTTTAAGGGACCCTGAGCGATCCAAAATACAGCCGTATTAGTCGGGGCAACTACATACGTGTACGTGTCTGTGTTGAGATGCCAAGTGCACTTTGGCTTGGCAGCGTGCCAGTGCTTTTAAGCCACTTTTCCCCAGGAGAGAAATTTTGCTTTGAACGAACTGCCATGGCCTGCAACCCCTAAAAGTGTTTTTGAAGTGAGATCACCGGGGGCTTGTCTCAAGGAAAATCGGGATGTGCTAATGGTGCATTGAGCGACATGTCTCTCCACCACACATTCTTTCTTTTTTTTTACTCTGTGTTTTGCTTGATGCGGTATTTTTTAATCCTTCGTGGCAAATGACTTGAAATTCCTGTGAATCCAGCTCAACCATACATGTATTTGGCCTAATGTGACAAATTCAGCTGCAAATCACAACAGCCACTTGTTATGGCCTGTGTGCATGTATGTTGATCAGTCGGAGCCCTCGACAATTTTCCCCATCAAGTCCATTTTCATCGGGATGGCCTCAAGACTCATTTCATTGGATCTGTGTGCGCATGTCTCCACCACTGACTTGTTCCCAGGGCCTGCAGAATAAGCACCTGTGCAGTATAACAGAGTTGTAAATTACAAATGTAATTAAATGTAGCAACACTCTTCATCCTTAATGGGATGCAATCCTTTCCCTGAAGATGTCTTGTAAATAGGTACATTCACTTGTCTCTTGGAGGTTCTCATTTTAATACAAATTGCCTCCCCAAAAAGACCATGCCAAGCCAGGAGCAATCCCCAAGCAATCGACAGGCCCTGCACTAACACACGTACAGATGCATCGTGCATGTTTAAAAGCAGACCATTGGAGTGTGTATTAGGAGTAAAAGTATAGGGTAGCTTGTTCATTTGTCAGATATTTTGTTCAAAACCTTATCTTGAATTGAAAATTTATCTTTTACCTCTAAAAGACTTCTCTCATGCCCGTTGGTAGTGGTCTAGAGCCTATTGAGGGGCCGATGGCTGGTTCTTGGTATTTCTTTCTAAGCCATAAGGGAAACTCATTTAAAAATTATAAGAAAACCCGGAAAAATGATCTACATGTACATACGTTTTATATACACTGCACATAGACATAGGAAAATAATGCTGGTTTGTTTACACATGTAGCTTAATGTCATTCTGCTGCTAACGACGTTCTATTTATTGCTGTCTCATGTAGAAGTGACCAGTTTAATTCATTCTTTTTGAAGTGGTTACCCCTGTGTACATATACCGGTACATGTTGTTACCATTTCAAGAATAATGAATTATAGCTACTGTACTTACTTTTAGTTATCGGTATTTGAATGCCAAATGTGTGAGAGAAAGTTGGTTAGGAATTTGGCCCTGCAGAGTCACATAGGTTAGGCAACCATGAACACTTTGTTGCTGGTTTGTCAGCTGAAGAAAGGTGATATTTTATACATGTAACCATTTGAAGATGTTGTCCCACAACAAAGCACATGTATATGTTGGGGGAGCATAAATGTACTTTATTTTGTGAGTTTCTTGACTATTTCTGGCTTTCTATCGAGAAACTGACAAAACAGTTACATGTAACTTAGAATAATATTGAAAGCATTCAGAAGGAAAAAGAAGAAATGGTTTTTCGTATGTCTTATTTTCAGCTGTATTGGATTCTTAGAATATCTTGTAGTTGGTCATGGGATACTTTTTATGTGAAGTGAAAATCTGGCTTAAAGAGCCATGATCGTTGCTGCTATACTCTAATGCAGTACCAAATGCAGCCATCTTTTTGTCTCTGAATTGGATGTTAATGAGGTATTGTTCAACCTCTCGTTTCTCCTTGCAGCTGCAGCGCTTCTTCTTCATCCCTTTCCTGGTTACCATGGGAATGCTGGTCCTCCTTCAGGTCCTCGTCTGCTTCCTCTCCATCGTATCTCTGGTGAGATTGCACAGTTATGCAACAGAGGGTGTACACGCTCGCATAGATCTGTAATCATGTACGTGCGTCATGACCTCGCATGCTGCCCTAGCCAGCTAGCAGAGCTGGACTTGTTGGTCATTAACCGCTGTATTTGGTTTCATTAACTTCGATTACAGATCTGTTGCCAGGCGAAAAAAAAAATGCATTTTTGATGTGAAAGAGATCATTCCGAGGGACTGTAGACTGTGGTTTTGCCGCAGTCACGTAAATCTGTGCCTGGGATGGGGGGTTGAGGCATGACTGAAATCAAAAATTGTTTTGCTGTGGACATTTGAAAAGTTGGGAGGAGGGTGTGCTGGACGCCACGTGACACTTGGGGTTGCTGATACAGATGTATGTCTTATGTTTGAGTCTGAGTGCCAGATTTGAGTATTGGTTGGGTCTTCAGTTGGAGTGTGAGACCTGTACAGCAAGTCTTTAAGGCCGTGTCTCTTGTTCAGTAAAGTTTTGTAGCGGGCATAATACGATGATCAAGGCTCATGCTTACATACATGTAATTTATTGTTTCTAAGTTACGCCTTTTCTTTCATTGTCTGCATAACCAGTTGGAATCAATGTTTTGGTCTAAAATAGTGAAAAAGCTTGGCATGTTGTATGACAGAAGCACGTTCCCACTTTGAAGGATAGCACATGTAATTATGATAATAAAAAACAGGGGTTCTATGTTTGATCCGGTTTGGTGAACAGAAAATAAAATTAAAAAAAAACCTTGCAAAGAAATTAAAAAGGAACCTAAATTATAGGCCTTTTAGCAGAAGTTGTTGGGGACTAAAAGAACTCATGGAGGGAAAGTTTTTGTGATGAAGGAAGCTCAGCAGATAACTGGGTGATTTTGAGAACTTGAGGAAAGGGTTCGTCTTGACTCTTGACAGTAGTGCCTTCCTTGTAGCTTCCTTGACAAAGTCATTAAAGGAGGATGAGATTCTTGTGGCCACATCCAAGCCACTCTTTGTCCAGATATTGGGCTTGTTTGCTCTGTTGTCTCTTGCCTTAAGCGGGACAGGGATGCACGTATGAGTCACGGCCCACCGAGGTCCAATCTAAAATAGTGCCCTCTACCGCACTCATAAGAACATTTAACCCCTTGATGACGGGAATTTCTTCCCGAAAGCCGACTCCAAGAATTCCAGCCTCGCTTGGCCATGAAGGCCACCTGCCAAACTGCAGATTCTCAGTTTGTGGCCCTGCGTGCTCTCTTTGAATTACACGGTGAAAAGGCTCATTGTTCGGTGGCATGCAAATCTACTCAAGCTTCCATATTCCCGTTGCCTCTTTCCAAAGTGGGGACTATTGTGAAACTGGTGATTATGATGCAAATTCGGTCTTTTCATTTCTGGGCTACGCACCAAGACAATTACCATATATACAAAAGCCAGGGTCTGCCTTCTTTCACTGTGTTCACTTGAGTGTGGGCCGAGAATAATAGCTAAAAAGCGGGCTGAGGATCTCAATTTTTACAGTGGCTCTATCCTCGTCACAGCGGGAACGGGTTAACATCCCTGGTGCTTTGTTGTCAAATAAAAAGATTGATTAAAGCACGTTAGGTTCAGGGGACCTGTCTTATTCGTGATCGAAGTGTTTGTACACAGACTATACAACCTTTCCTTCATCTTTGACTTCCGTTTTAGTTTTACTGGTATATGTAGGATTCAGAATGCCTCGTATGCTTAGAAATCGCTGCTGTATCTGCAGATCAGCTGTTAGTTGCAGGTTTTATCCATTGGGTATTTTCAAGGAATATATTTGTCAAAGCTTGTTTTCTGCTGCAAGATGAGTGCGAAGGTTTTTTGTGTAAAAACTTGTATCAGCAAATTTAGGGCGAACAATTCACAAACTTTTGCACATCGTGTAGACTGCAAACGTGATTTTGGTGCAGTTGAAAAGTGCCAGACAAAGGAACATCCCGACAGAGAATCAAATGCACCGTTGGAAAAAAGCACAAAGGAAGCGCATGTGGCAGAATCGCCTGTGAGTTGGAAGAATTGAAGAGCAAAACAGAGATGCTTAAAGCAGAAAACAAAGTACTAAGGAAATTTGAGAAAAATCTAAAAAAAGCATCTAAGATTTGATAGGGCTTGTGAGGCAACCATCCCACAGGCTGTTGCACTTGGGCATATTGCAACTAGTTCAGGGACTGGAGATAAAGACATCATAAAGGTACCAGGCAAACGCGGGCATCCAAAGGTTTTTGTCAGAGTTCTTGTTGCTCAGGTGGGAAGTTCTACTTGTACCAAAGAGAATCTCTGTAAAAGAAGTCATTTGATTGAAAAAAATGAGAAAATTGGTTTCCAATAAACTTTCCAACTGAAAACTCCAGTTGAAGTACCACGGCTGGCTAGGATTTTAGGAACAGTTGGCTTGATGTCGGAGCAGGCAACTGAAAGCATTCATTCATGAATATGCAAATAAATTGGAACGCGTGTTTGTGAGTGTGCATGAACCTGAAAAGCAACAACAATTTATGTTCAGACAACATGCAATGTACTGCTCACCTCAGTTATGAGATTTCAAAATGTAATCGTACAGGAGGAGGTGAAGATTTAGGTTTTGGAGGCTAGGGAGAGTTTTAATTACCAGTATATGTATCACGTCTTGACTTTCACCATATATGAGTAAACCAGGATTAAAGTAGGTCACATGCAGTCAGTTCATCAGACCACTAAATGGGGTTTGTGACAAGTCTTGGGGTATCCAGTTGTCACCTTACAGCCAAGCAAGTGATCTGTATTGGTTGCTTACCAATCAGAAATATTTTGAATGAGTCATTTTTGTTAATGTAGTTGAGTTGTACATACTAGCCAAGTGTTTGTTGTTGGACATGTTCTCCAAACTAGAAACTTATTGCAAGTATTGGAAAGCATTTCATGTACATGAAGTGTGTACTTGACGTACCTGTGCACAAACCTATGAGACTGGTCTGAAAAATTCCAAGTGTTTTCTGAGTAAATGTTTCAGGATTTTCAGAGCTAAATTTCACTTTTTGGGTTATTTATCACTTTCTAATTGCTACTGAAACCTTTAAATGGAAAATTAGTGCACTGTGTATGTGGAATTCTCTGTAGATAAGATGTAACCTTCAATGTAGCTTTAGAGAAGTTAAACAAAAGTAAGCTTTTACCCATTTATAGTATTTCTTTTAAAATATTTTCTAAAAAGAAAAGGACAAAAATCCCCAAACATACCTTCCCCCAAAAATGGTTACAGACACAAATTGTTATAGTTCTGGAATTTTTAATAAGCTTGTAGGTGACCAGAGTCACTTACATTACACTCATTGTCGCGTACTTTTTCCCATGGACATATGATGATTTTAAGAGATGTTTGAACACAGGTTGATGGATCTTCGAATAATGTGCTATGTTCTGAAATGGCATGGTCATGATGAAAGGGTCGTTTCAAAGATCACTTGTCCACATCAAGGCAATGCAAAATTACTAACATTCAAGGCCTTATCACAGTATGCACACTTTCAAGTTAAAGGCACTGAAACCTAGCCAAGTGAAGTGGCAGGTCACTGGCTACCCAACTTACCAGCTCCTCCTCAAGGACTCTTGGGGTTGGTTGCAAGTTCTGCTACCAACTACCAACGCGCGGGCTGCCGAGCAATTCAGACATTTCTAAGAAACTGTACGACCTAATTCTTTGGGAGTGTGGATTTAAAAAAGAAATGGGGACTCCGTAAGTACGAGTATACCCATCAATGTGGACACCGCTACTCAAGAACAAATGCATGTAGGGTGTGAGTGCAAGTGTGATTACAAGCTGTAGTTGAGTCAATTTCCACGAGTACATGCATGAGGGTGAGTACCCCTGAGGGAAAACTACTTGAGTAAGAGTACTACAGCAGTACTTGTGCCTCAGGTAAACTTCATCTTAGCTAGGTAATAGATTTTTTATAGAATTCCCAATCTTGATGGAGGAATTCCTCCAAATGTTACCTGGTCTACAGTTGCATGTCTGTTTGCCAATGCTGATGCTCAATATCACCAAAGTAAAGTTAGCAATATACAATACAATACCAGTTTTATGGGAAGAATAAAATAATCTCTAACTGACATTTTTCTCTCCCTTTCATTTTCCAGTTCATCCTCTTTGCAGAAGGCGCTGTATTTGAGATGTTCCTTGCTGTCGTCTTCTTGATTGCTGATGTGAGTGTAGTGTAAATAATGCTCTTGATCACCTGCATCGGTCCACATGTTTAATTCACATGTCCATCATGTTGGAACATGGTCATGATTCTGTCGTGTTTTCTCTTCAGTTGATGTGCTGGCTGTGTGTCTTCTCTTACTACCAGGAATTGCGGGATGGTCGAGCCCAGATACGGGTCAACTACACCATCAGGGTGAGTCACAAAAGGAATATGCACCGTTGGTTGTTGATAAAAATTTGCCTATTTCATTATTTTGTTTGGCCCGTTGACGTCAACAAAAAAAATTTCACTTTAGGGGCGTAACGATTCATCAATGCATTGCTAATCCTGATAATTTCATGATACGGCATCACGATACAAAACTATGTTGCAATTCATGAAGGGTAGGCTTAATACACCTGAATGTGAGGGAAAATTAGAGTAAACGTGGAAAGAACGTTGAGGACAAAACAAGAAGTTGTTTACTAGGTTATGTTGTCAGTGTAAGGCTTCATTATGTGGTCCAACATAACCCCTCCATCAGCAAAAACAAGTTCGGCAGGCTAAAAATTCTGAATCGCACCACACTTGGAAGCCACGTAATGCAGTTTGCTACCAAGAAGATTATGGAAAAATTAGTTGTAACATTTGTGGTCCAAGAGAAAGCGGAACTTCTGTGCCAATATGTCTGGGAAAAATCAGGTTGCTCAAATGATGGGAACATACATGCGCAGTCAGTCTAGTGCTGTACCGACTTGCTGTACTTGCCGGTGAACATTCCATCGGCCCTTTTTCAGTGGTGGAACGCTAATTCTCTGATTGTGGTTGGTGGCAGGACGGGTTGACAGTGCAGTGCATGCAACTTCACGTCTAGGTCCAATGTGTATCCTGATGTGTGCATGATGCAGCGCACGCCAATAATAGTCTGCTACCATACCACTTGGGTGGTTACGGTGTGTGCTCAAAATGTTTTCAGTTTCTCCATCGCTACCAAAACAGATTTCAGTTGCATGAAACTAGCCTGAGTTTCTGACAGTTTCATTTGAATCTGTCCTAATGTTTATGGGGCAAATGACAAAGATGACTGTAGTTTATGGATGGAAATGTGCACAAGTCACCTTGACCGTGCACTGTGCACCAGTTCAAAGTAATCAGGGAACCATTCTTCGCACGAGGCATTTTACTGTAGACTCAGAAGTGTTACAGTGCTGCGTTTAATATGCTGTTCCCACTGGATTAAGAAGAGGCCTTATTTGCTCTTTGTACACTGCCGCCATAGGCATGGAGAGTGGCGAACTGGCAGTTTGTACAATCGCGTCAGAATCACTTTGTCCAATCACATGGTATCAAAATTAACGCTGCACAAGCAAAATTACCCTGCAATATACGCAGGAATTACAGAACCAGCTACATTTATTGTGTCAAGCTGCCAGATCGAGGCTCTGCATGCCTATGGTGACAGCGTGTAAAGAGCGAATACTACATGTAGCACTCCACAGAAATCTTCAGTGAATACTTTCGGCGAGATAAGTTACCGTGAATGCGATGTAAAAGTAATCGAGGGACCTCTGCATTTTCCAACTAGTAATTCTTCCACTGAGCCGCTGTAATTTCACTGAAAAAAGGAACAGTGGGAAGTGATGGGCCTAATTTTAGTGTCGAACCGGACAACTATGTGAGAAACAAATGCAGTTTTGGGGGCTAGTTGTGGGGCTCATCCATATTATCATCAAAGCTGGCTGGCTCTTCTTTTCAGAATACGCAGAAAAGTCTTGAAAAACTCCACATGCATCTTTACAACTATCATCTGAGTTGGAATGGAGCGTAATTTCAGTGTATATGTAAGGTGCCCTGCATGTATTTATTTTTGTCACAGGATGAAATGACAACTAAGAAGACAGTAAGTAAATGTTCAGATTTTGAGGTGGGAGGAAAACCCTGGATAAATATTCCAGGAAAACCCATAGAATCAGACAGGGACTGAAAACCCAATCTACATTGAGACCCAGGTAGGATTCGAACCCAGGCCGCGGAGGTGGGAGGGGAAGAAAGAGCTATTACACTAACATTACTCCTCAACAAGCAATGAAGGTGCCTGTTGCTGTGTGGGATTTTAATTGACCATGTGACTCTTGGAAGCTTGTAGGCCAGGAAGATAAGAAATTTGTGCTTGTAAGCAAGGGGTCATGGGTTCAAGTCCCACCTGAGGAAGCTTGTGAAAAGCAGGAGCTGCCATTGTCAACTTTTCCCAGCCATTTCAGAAACTGTAAACAGATCAATAATAACGTTGATTCAGTGCCAGACATCCAGTGTTAAACCATCCCCTTATTTTTTTGTTTTGGTTGGTTACAGGTACCGGAAATCAGCCAATCAGAGAAGACGGATGTGACCATAGACACCAGCCAAGCCATAGATGGGCCTCCTGCCTACACTTTGCTCTACCCAGAGCCTAGAGACTAACCAAGGAAAGGTTTACCAAGGAAGTAGCATGTACATGTATATGCACAGGAAAGCACATTCTGCTTGAATTTAACATAAAAGTGTCATGATCATGTGATCCTATTATTCATTGGGCTATTGTGAAGGCAGATTTGTCTGTTTGAACCTGTTCAGTGTGTCACTGGGTATTTTTTAACCTCAAATTTTGACCATGATCAGCTGTACCATAATACGCAGCAAGAAGTTGTTAATGCAAGGCCACGTATTATTTCCTGTGTTGGTTAATACCACGTTGCACCAAGTTCAAAGTATCCTTCTACACGTATAGCATGGTAAAATTGTTCATCAAAGTACATGTAATGAACCATGTTCACCGAAAGCAAAGTATTTCATTTGGGATGGCCCAAGCACTGCGAACAAGCCATGACGCACAAAGTCTATTTTGTTTATAACTAATTGTGGTATTTTTTACACATCAGTGCTTAAAACACGTTCATACGCATTGCTTTTGAACACTGTAGTGGTCGTTGGCAGAATCAAGTGCAGTGGTCCAGAAATGACAATCTTGTTGTGAGATTGGGGTGGGATAGGAGTGACTTTGTCATTCACTATTGGGGGAGGGAGGCAGAGCCGGGGGGGGGGGAATTATTGCACGGCCTAATTAAAAGTTAAGCATCACTAGAGTTGATCTTGAAGGAGACTTTATGGACATGCAGTGAGTGGTTGGGGTGAGAGGCTGGTTAATTGATGAAGGCTGATTCAGTCTTGTGATATCATACGTGGCTCACTCTCCACTGTGCTTTGACTCAACGACAGTACATCAGTAAACCGTCTACTTAGCCTTTGCTGTACTCTTTATTTTAAAGTTAATGCATAAAAGACCACCAAAGGACACAAAATGGTAGAGCAAGAAAACTGCAACCAAGTTCATCAACACAGCATTTGTCATGACATTCTGGTCAATGTAATCATCTGAAATCAGCCACACCGACAGTGTGGATTGTCTGTAGTGCAGTAAGCTCCAGGGCTATATGCATAGTATATTTTTGAAAAAGATATTCTATTTTTCTTCTCCTTTGTTGTCCCGAAGCATGCATGGTTCAGCCATGTTGGTCCACTGATCCCATGCTCGTGCAGGAATACCGGGCATGTGTTGTAAAATCTTATCTTTGTTGTCCAGTTTTTCAGTGCATGTGAGTTTTGTGAGTTTCTTGAAAGTGTCAGTTACATTGTTCAACTTGTAACTATTTGTATTTACGATATGGGATGATGTAGTCAGATGCAAAGTGCAGTAGTTTTTTTACTTTAGCAGTGGCTGGTGCCTATTAATTTGGCTCTAAACGATCTCTTTAATAGTGTTGAAACGTGATCAGGTGGCCGTGATCTTTAGTGAGAATTCTGAGACTGTCATATTATGACTGTACTTAAAACTTCATTCATATATACCTGGTTTTTCTATTCCTATTGGTCGAAACTCGTCACGTGACCATTCATTAACATTTGATAATGCCCGCTTAGAAATTATAATGCCCGCTGCATAAATCATGCGCTGGCACATGGAGACAAGACTGTTTATTCAGGTCTGATAGGTCAGGAGTCTGTGTACACGCAAACGTGCCTCGCATGTGGCAAGTTTATTAAAGGAGATTCTATTGGACAACTTTCAAAAGGAATATTCCATGAAATGGACGGGGGTGTTCAGGAAAATGAAAGTAAAGTTTTAGAACAAAATCGTTGGAAATTCATCATATATTGTCTTCTTTTTGACTCCCTGAATAAAAACGTGTTCTTGGTCAGTCTTAAACTAGTGTTTAAGACCTTGCTTGGAACAATGAACGCTGATAATGCCCTTGCCTGAGGCTCGAGCATTAGTCACTTCCATTCTCCTAAGTTTGTCATAAATATACTTTAAAGACCGGCCAAGCACATATTTATTCCCTTGGTTGTAAACCAAAAGGTAAACTTGTATTAACTTGCCAAACACTCAGTGTTCTTTTCAAAAATGAAAGTATCACCAAGTCGGTGCAGCATTATGTTACTTGGCATTGCCTGAATGAATAACCTTGAATTAATTAGTTTTACAAACATTTTTTATCCTACCTAATCGACTGTATTCATGAGATGGCCATTCTTAATCATGTTTCCCGACTCTTTTTTATTCTTTGAACACTCTAAAATAGACAGGAACCTATTTTGCTTTAATTACGGGCATAGCTTCGTTTTGAGGTTTTTTGTCATTATGGACGATAAAGGCAACACAGTATTTTATTCGTAATTTGGAACCATTCACTGGAGGACAGGATTTGCCCATACTTCATCAACTTTGCTCCCAAGATTTAAGATTTCAGAAAACATTTAATACAGGGATTGCCTCAATCTCATTTCAAGATGGCAGATGTAAGGTGAATGGAAGAGTTTTTGTGTGCTATGCTTTATAATATTTATTGGCATATTATTCAGTGTCAAGGAAACTCATGAATACTTGCTGCGAAGCAAAGACAGAATAACTTCTCTCCTGAAAACAAGTAGATGCCATTTCATTTTAATACTGTTAAGACTTTGTGGTTTAGATGAATGGACAATTGGATATTTATCAAGCTCCAGTCATTTTTCATAACCTAAGGCTATATATAATGTACCAGCAAGGCATGGTATTGAAAAAGTTGGCCAAATTGTGATCGCTTCTGTGTAGAGAATCATACAGTGGACCCTGCCCATGTCTCCGGGGAACCAGACCATGATGTCTACAATTGGATAAGAGATTTCTTTACGTAAGCTTGCCATAAACATCAGAGATCAGTGCAATTTCTACTCAGACATACATTTGTACATGTATGCATATACATGTACATACATATGATCGGTAAGTGCTTAGTGTTGTCTTAATCAGAGTTTTATTTCATGTGTAAAAGAAGTATTTGTCCTGAGACGTGTGAGCACTCTAAAAAGATTTTGAAAAAAATGCAATTGTGTTTTGATTACAAAGTTAGCATCTACATGTAAAATATATTTGTTACATGTACATGTACTGCTAACTGCTTAAGGTCAGAGAATGCTAATTTTTTTTCAGAGTTTGGCAGAAATAGATACATTTACTTACCAAACCTCTAAAAGGGGAAAAAAGATTTTGAGCAAGATGTATCAGAGGCACGTAATAAGAGTGCAACTGTGTTTTTGTTACAAAGATGAAATGTGTCAGAAAATGGATTGATTAGGTTAATTCAAAGCAAATAAGTGTTCACTGCTATGCGATTTGCAGTTTCCACGTCTGTAATGATTGTTACATGTATGTTACCATTAGATTGTCAAAATAATGCATTCGGTCTTGGAACGATAAAGTCAGTTAAGTAGGGTTTGTATCAGTGTACTCCACCAAAAGTCTACTTACCATCCTTCATTCTCAAAAATATTCTGAAGTTTTCTTTCTGTCAAGAGGATTACTTTCAAGATATTTGAAATGGATGTTATCACCATCCGTTGGCTTAGGAAGAGATATTTCCAAATTGGATCGTGATTATATTGGTTCTTTCAGTTTTGTATATGTTGATCAATTACTTGTATGGAAACTACTTGCAAACGAAAGTGAAATTTTGAAATGATAGAATATTTAAAAAAGTTACGGAGTAAAATGGAATATAAATGATGATTATTTAATTTGCAAATGAAACTGGAATTTTGACATGACAGAATATTGAAAAATATGGAGTAAAATGGAACATTAATGATAATTATTTAAACGGATGTTCAGTTTTATGTCTAACATTTGATTATTAATCATCAATTTATTTTATCAGCAACACTGTAAAAACAACATTTAGAGTTCAAACACGTTTTTATACCCACTTTTTAAAAAACATGTTTAACCCATGACTTGTTTAATGACGTGTTTAGCAATGCTTAACGCTTTTCCATGGTACGTGTTCAGCTTTTTGAAATCCCGAAAGTGTTTAGAAATGTGTTTAAACTCTAAGCACCTTAGAGTTTAAACAATTTGCATGTAAGTTCATTGTAAGTGTTCTGCATGTACGCATGAGTATATTTAGCATATCTTTGCAATTAACCACACGTTGTGTTGAATAAAACTTGACATTTCAAATTCACCGAACATCAGAGTAAAATTGCGTCAGAATTGACTGTTGGAAAGAGAGCTTGAATTTTGTACAAGAGAACAGAGTACTCGGGGGTTAATTTCTGTTGTTCTTTTGTTTGTTTTCAATTAATAAAAGGTTATTGTAACTTCAGTTCTTATTTTTCACCTTGGCCACAGGACTTAACATGTCTTCAGGGCCCAGAGGTACGGTGCGAAATCTCATAAATGGGGATTTCTCTCGTACTTGGTGAAGTTCCAATTTGTATTGATTGAGGGACAAGTCCGTAATTTCTTAAAATAAGGTTTGGGAAAATACCTATTTTATATATTCCTGGGAAAACAGAGACACGAGGAAGAAATTATGAGAAACTGTTTAGCCTGTGATTATTTCCTAACAGGTGCATCCAGGGAAAAAATCTTTAGGCAAGACCCCCGTGTACCTCCCTCAGATCAACGCTGTCTTCATTGGCCCACTCGCGTCCCAGAGTGTCTACGTCGGAATGGCCAAATTCAGCGGCGCACGTAGGGGGCCCCCATAACATATTACCCTCCCCATCACTGGAACTTTGAAGAACAATGAGAATCTTCAATTACCAAAAGCGCATCTTCATTGTGGAATCCATGGGCTCCTTATCTTGAATCTTGGCTTTGTCGGTTTGGTTTCGAGCTTTTAAAAAAACATCTAGTTCTACCATGCTTCACAACCAAGTCAGAAACTTTTGACCTCCGGTTCATGTTTATAGAGCACATTAATGGAGGTGCATTGAGCCAAGAATCTCAGACTGGAGAGTGAGTTTTACGTTCTCCATTACTGTGAATTTTTTTACCTCATATGCCACTATTTTTTATCTTTTTATAGTCGTGGTAGGTTTTTGGTTTATACTTTATAGGTATTTTTTTTATTTTATCGCATTACTATGACATATACGAATTGTATCAATATGTTGTATTCATTTTAGTTTTTCCCAGTATCCCTATACAGGGAGAACACATGTAGGAGCTGCTTGGGCTACCTTGGTGAAGTCACTGTAAAATGAAACGATAAATGAATCGATGAAAAAGAAGCGAGAACCGACATTTTGAAAAACAACCACGTGCTGCGCAATGCGCGCCAATGCAGACCTGCACTTGCAGTGGCTCAAAAGCCATGTGCTTAAGTGTGAGTAGTGCCGCCGACAGGTATTAGCCTAAACGGCGGCCCTAGAAGGGGACCTTGTAATGCATATATTTTTGTAACGGCACGTGGTAAGTTCTCTCAATGCGCGAACTAGGGCTGATCCGGAGGGGCGATCAGCAGCGATCCAACGTTGGTTAACTGACACCATAACCGGCGCAATGGATGGAGGGAACCAGCGTTTGGATCACTCAAGGAAATCTGCTGGATCCACGTGAAACAAAGAAATTTTGGGCCCAAGTCAATGCACGGAAATCTAACATGGATGCAGTTTGCGTGACCGGACCCCGTTGACATCGAAGCAAGCCTGTCGGGCCCGAAGACACTTCTAGTACTAGTTTTTACTGGTAGGCCTACTGTTATATTCAGCAAGGTCCATAGGCTAAGCCTGGATATAATGCCGAGGAAATGTGCAGTGTAGGTACTACAATTCAGTGCTAAGAAGTGCAATGGTGCAAGTAAAAAGGGACCGTGAAGTGTAACGTTTAACTGCACCTCTGAACACTCATTATCATGATAGTGACGACAAGGCACTTCCGGCGAGGGCATTCCACCAAGCATGGATGCACCAAGTGAGAGTGGGAGGGAAGGAAGAATAACGGTAGAGCTGTATTCAGGCTGATGTTGAAAGGGTGTGATAATTCACCATTGCCAGGTAGGGGCATAGGCTAAAGTACAAGTGCTTTGTCCATAGGTGCTGATGCCTGTAACTGAAGTTGCATACACCATGCATAGGCCTACATTGACACTGTACACTGAGGATAACAATATTTTAGAAGAGAAATTACTGTTACGCTCCCACAAGCTGTTCCCCTTTATGCATGTAGATTACAGTGTACACGCTACTACACACACCACTTACCCAACAGCGAACGCGCAATGACAATCTACACGTGGATTATACGGATTGTACACAGCGCATTGCATTCCAGACGCGACCCCGTTGCTCTATGCTGCAACATGCCCTTGAACCGCAACTCCGAAGCACACTTCCAACTTAGTCATTTTCCCCCAAATTTTCCTCGGAGTCGATTCTACTTTCAGTCGCACATATAACCCGTATATTCGACCCACACAGACCCCCCACTCATACCGTATGTGTCCCACCAAAACACACACCCAAAGCCTGTGTCCGGTCACGGCACAGCGGGGTCAATTACCTCCACCCACCCTCAGTTTTACCTCGTACTAAAATTTACCCTGCACTAAAATGGTCCTAGCTAGAACACTGAGCAGTGGGTCATAACCATAACTGTCTTCTACTGGTCTGCTCCTCTTCATTGCCAGACAGTGGCCAAGGATGACACTGCTGTGAGACCGTGGACCTGGAATGTCGTGGCTCCATGCAGAAGCCGAATCTCAGGGTTCGACACCGACCTACCTGTCTGAGCTGGGCTGTTCTGGTGTGGAGGTGCTTAGCCCAACGACTGTGCTCCTGCACTGACTGGGCGGGGCCTTATCTTTCTCGTCGTTGATTTGGGATCCTTAAGGTAATTATGCGAATATAATTTGCCTCTTTGTGCATTAACATATTTTTGCCGGTTTGCTATTTTCTTTGTATAATTGTGCTTGGCTGTGCTATTGTAAATAATTTTGCTTTTATGCTTTTGCTTGTCCGAAACTCACGTTCCAAGTTCAACAAAACACTAGATTTCCTTTGCTTTAAGTTATTGCTCTGCTGGTTTAAGTTTATAATTAAATGTTGTTTCAAATTATTTCCTTTGCCGTCGGTATTGTAGCAACCTTGTTCCTGTCTTTTGATTTTCTTCTGCCCTGTATTCCCTGTACGTAACAGAATTGGGGGCTTGTCTGAGAACAAAGCCATTAGACACTGTAGCAACAATTAGGCGTGTTTAGAGTTAGGATTTGTATTTCACGTCATTTAATGTTTGCGTAGTCCTAACTTGGGAACTAAATCATGGCAAGTAAATTTGATATTAGCGAGTTTGTAGCCAGCTTTGAAGCCTCTCCTTGGGAGACTAAATTGAATACATTGAAGCGCACTGAATTGTTTGACATAGCTAAACATTACAATGTTTCTGTGCTTACTAGTATGAAAAAAGCAGACCTGAAGGCTGTTCTTGTAGAATTCTTTGCCAATGAAGGAATATTAGAAACTCAAACTGCAGGGTCTAGTCGTTACTCAGAGGACGCTGCCATTAGGTTAAAAGAGCTTAAGCTTCAAATTCAAATCGAGCAAAGGAAAACAGCAGAGGTGGATTTAGGATTAGCCAAGTTGAAGCAGTCTGTGCCCACTTCACATACTACAGCCTCTGATCCAAGTAAGAACATAGTTCTACCCTTTCAGGACAAGGAAATTGATAAATATGGACAGTTTGGACAGTTTGAAAAGGAAGCAGATAGGCTGCAGTGGTCATCAGATATGTGTACTCTAATGCTGCAGAGTGTTTAACTGGCAAGGCACAAGAGGTGTATTCAGCTCCTCCAGTCAAACAAAGTAAAGACTATGCAATGGTTAAGTCAGCAATTCTAAAAGCTTATGAGCAAGTGGCTGAGGCATATGAGCAAAAATGCAAAGAAGCAGGATAGGCAGAGTTATGTTGAATTATCACATGAGAAAGAGATTCTTTTTGTTAGATGGTGCAATTCTTGTAGTATAGGCAGTGATTTTGCTAAGTTACGGCAGGTCATGCTTTTGGAGAACTTTAATGGCTGTGTTCTAGATGATGTAAAGATGCATTTAGAGGAACAACAGG